ACGAGCCGCTCGCGGGCGCCAGCGCGGAGCTGAGCGAGGGCAAGAAGCCGTTTCTAGACACGCGACCGGGGCTGGGGCCCGTGTCTGCTCCTGCAGGGCCTCCTGGAGCTCCCACCTACACGGTCACTTGCCGGGGGAGAGGTATTCCAGCAATTCCCTTCGGATCCTTCCTGCCGCCGTGCGGAGGGGCCAGCAGCGTCGTCTATTTTCAGAGCATGTTTCCGCTGTCCCGTTTGCCGCCCACACCGTCACTCTCCAGATCCTTCTCCAAAAGCCGTTCTCCGCACTTAAGGCAGCGTGAGCTAAAGCTGTGGGACTTTGCCTTAGCAAAGGCATCCTCTCAAGATCCGGTATTTTACCTGCCTGTGAGGTTCTGAGTGTACAAAGCAAATATTTGAGAAGCGAGAGCTCTCGGCACGTGGCAGGGCCGTCTGCCCTGCGCTCCGCTGCGTGCCGGGCTGACCCGGGAACGCTCCAGCTCATCGTTGACGGGAATGGCCCTCTCCCATGGGAGGGGTTTGCCGTGGGATCCTGCTCCCTCCTGTTCTTCACAACTCGCAGTTACTGTTTACAGCTTCTGCTCGAAGGTGCTGCCGCTGCAGGAGTTGGAATGAGGCTTTTGGAGCTCCCCTAGAAGGTCCGGCTGCCCACGTTGGGAAGCGTGTTGGGAAAGCAACAGCAAAACAGCCTTTTGCGTGCACAGACTCTTACCCAAAGCTGCTGCTCCCTTAGAGGTATTAAATACACGGGTGATTTGAGAGCCTTCCACAGTTATTTCTTTATTCCAGGCTGCCTTGCGCTTGCCTCCTGCCGCGCCACCTTTCCCTGCTGAAGCAAAGGCTCATGTTAACCATCGCAAACTGCTCCTCGGTCCTTAGCTTTGTGCAAGCGGCAGTACCGTGTGTTAGCCCCTACCCCGGCTCTTGGGCCGCGTGGCTCGCGCGGAGCCCAGCGGGACGCCAGTCTGCTGCTCCTGGAGACGCGCGCTGCAAACACGGTCTGAGCAGAGCGGGGACTAGGAAGCGTGTTGAGCTGTTCCGGGACTAGATTTTTCCAAGTGGGATCAGCTACTGCCGTCTTTTCAGGCTAACGCCGGGAAGGGGGGTGGATGCAGCAGCCAGGGTGCTGCGCTGGGTGGATGCTGCTGCGGTCCCGTCCCAAAGACCCGGTCAGTGCAGGTTCTGTCAGCCTGCTGCATCGAGGAGAGGAGATAACCCTTGGCTTTGGCCCCTGGCTGATGCCCGGCGTCGGCCCCTGGATGTTGATGCCCCTTTGGAAAGGGCTGCCCAAGCAGAGGGCTTCAGCCTGGCGCATTCCCCATCCCGCCGCAAGGAGCGGTCCGGCTGCCTACGGGAATGCCCTTGGAAAGGGAAGCGGCCCCCGCGCTGGGGGCTGAGGAGGCCGTGGAGGCCAAGGGCTCTTTGTGGCGGCCTCTGCGTTTGCTGGGGGTTTGGGTGGCCGGAGCCTCCCGCTCCCGGGATTCCGGAGCTCCTGCCGGGCTGCCTGGGCGGGAATCCCCTCCTGGTGACTCGGGTTTGACGGGAAACCGGCTACTGCCAGGACAGCCTTTGTACCGGCCATGGGGGAATTTGGGGAGGTTTGTCCACTGGGCACCGTGCTGTGAAACCAAAGTGCTTTTCAGTCTAAACCCGGCTGCTGGGGATGCCGTTCACCGTGTTCTGGGTTCGATCCGCCGCGCCAGGCTGGGAGCATCGCAGCGGTAGGGTCCTTTGCTGTCACGGAGCTCTGAGCACTGCCAGAGTAGCAGTAAATGCGAGCAGGCCATTGGAAACTGCTTTATAATGCCTTTTCCACAACAAAAGAACAGGTTTTTCTTCCAGGAAGATACAGAAGCTGGTTCCCCTATGAAGTGCTATGAATTATGTATATAATAATATAACTGTTTTGTGCAATATAATAGGAGGGAGCCAAAGTGGTAAAAGTGCCTCAGATTAAGCATTTAATTACAGCAGAAGGATGCTAATTTCAAGCACGCATCCTGCTGCTCCTAGTCAAATCTCTGTGCTGATCTCGTTTGGGACCGTTAGACTTGTAAACCAGACGCAGTTTGCAGTGCCGACAGCGTAACGTTTTCCTGCGGGTTTGCAGGTAGGTTGGCTGTGCTTGTCCAGGGGGCAAAAGGCAGCGGGGGGCTCTGCCGGTGGGAGCCTTTTGTGCACAAATTTGCAGCAGACGTTCTGGTTTTGTGCAAGTGCTTTGCCCAGTGCCGCCAGGGTGCTTGGGGCAGTTAATGTCTGCCTTGTCCTTCTGCCTGCTGCACTGGCAAATAATTCGGATCAGTTATGCACCAATTAGTCACTGTGGCATTTAGAAAAATGAAAATCCAACAATTCCCCAAATAAATCCACCGAAACAGCAGAGCCCCCTTGATCTGGGCTGGTGTCTGGACTCTTGCTGCTTTGCTCTGCTGCTCTGTAAGCAGGTGTTTTGCAGAGATTATTTGCTGACCCTCCGGAGACCTGGTAATTCCACAGCACCCCATTTCCAGGGACTCCTGGAGCTGTTGTAGCGAATGGCAACACGGTTTCTGCAGACAGATCTGCCAGGAGGAGAGCGCAGGGGCATTTTGCTGGGTTCAGGGTTTAGTGGCTAAGCCGGGGACGTGCTGGGAATGAGACACTTTGGCCTTACGGGCTGGAGGGAGCAGCCAAAACTGCT